GCACCGGCGCAGCACCGCCGGTACCCCGGCAGCTCCATCGCGCCGGCGGCACGAGGGTCTCTGGCCGCCTTCTCCGGCAGAAGCTGCAGCCTGTGTGGGGGCTGACCGAAACCCAGCAGCTCGAGTAGCTGCAGTTAGCTTTCGCGGTGCGGGAGCGCGTGCTTCAGAGACGCGGGGACCGCGGGAGAAATATGCCCAGAGGCGCGGAGCTGCTGCAGCGCTTCCGTCCCCGCCGCGCGGGCTTGCAGCTCGGGCCGCTGCTCCTATGGGCCTTGGGAAACGACCACATCTGGCCGCGTCTGCTCCGGTATCAGTCGAGTAAGAAAATGTAAACGCGGTGTCAAATACTACAATTGAAGCACTGTCCGAGACCTAGAATTTGAGTTCTCTGTGCAAGAAAAAAGGCCTTTTTTTAACCAAAACATGGAGAACGACGAATAAGATGGATCATCACTTTACCCAAATTCTGTAGGAACGTAGGGTGCCCAATGAACGCATGCGTGAGCAATAACAGTATTAGCTTTACAATTCAAAGTTTACAATACAGAAGAGGAAATGCTGCGTGTAAACAAAATTCTTCAGCTCCATAATTTTTTAAATGAAACAGTACATGCCAAAATGCGACTCACTGTACCTTATATGCCTATATAATGACAATTTCAGACATGATGGTGGTGTGCTATAGAAGCAAATATCAGTTGCCCGCATCTATCGATTCTCAATTCTGTCAGAGATGTTTAAGTTTTGCTTATTAGATGCACATGTTGGGGTTTTTTTCTTTAAGGAAGGGGAAACAAGCAACATCAATATCTGGTATCAAGAACATCCTATTCAAAAAGCGTATTTCCCTGTGTCTTAAATTTCACTTTCTGGCCCTTAACACAAAAAATAATAGTTTTAAACGGTGACAAAGATAGTGTATGCAGGCTGTTTGTTTTTCCTTTGGGTCTCAGGTTAGGTGGGGAGCAGCATAGCGGTCTACCACAATTTTTATTTTCCCTTTCTTGGGCTCCAGCAAAGTGCTGTAATTTGAGTCATTTGCTAAATTTAGATTTAATTGTATTGGAATGAAAAACAACCCTCCTTCCACTCACTTCCCCTAACATATTCTCTTGTGTGTTAATAAAATATTTCTGATTCGATTTTATTTTTCTTTTAGTACTATTGTTTTATTTCACTTAACTACAAGCCAATACAAACTCCAGATAGTGAGGCCTTTAGGCATCTTCTTTGAATAACAGCCTCTGGTTTGCAGAGGGGTACCCTCTCAGGCACTGTAGCAAACTATGGCATTTTGCAAAAAAGTGAGGTAGTGTATGAAGGTTTTGGATTTAGGTGCATCTGATTTATATTATTTCTGGAGACGATCTTGTCTATGTTGGATTTTCCAGGTGGAAAGACCCCACGGTTTATTTTTGTATGTCTGTGCATGTCTATAGTAAATTGTGCTTTTTTTAATCTCTAAATATGTAAAAGTGCAGATGAAGTTACATGCTGAGTGCTATGGATGAAACACATTAGAAGTAAGAATAGAATTTTATTTTCTGGCTCCTGTGCTCTAGGAAAATGTCATTGTGTTTGAATCAAATACTGAATAATTCGTGTCGCAAGTGACTAGAGGTGGGGTCTGCACCCAAAGGAAATATTTTCCAGCTTGATTTACCTTTTGGAGGAAGGAATGGTAGATTTATATTCACTGACGTTTGGCTCAATAACAAGTATGTTGGTTTCCAGCTGTAAAAGGATGCTACTATATGGAGCGGTGGCAAAGGATATTCAGATAAGAACTGAAAGAGGGTTCAGAGGGAAGGTAATCTGAATATTAAAATAGTTCCAGACTGTTAAGAAGAGCCAGCTCCTGTGTGGGAGAAATTTGGAATTTATAAACAGCAGCAAAGAAACATCACTTATCTTATATAGGCTCATGGGAAAAATGCATAGGGTCAACTCACGAACACTGTGGAATTTAACTTGACTTGAACCTGTTTCCTTTGAATTCTTATTGAAGAACTCAGTCAGGTAATTTGGTATGCATAATGTTTCCAGAGGGTGAGTGAGATTTTTGTTAATGACCTTTTTTCATAATAACTGTTCCCTGAATTGGGTTGTTGTGCATGGAGAAAACGCCCGTCACATGCCAAGTCCGCAATGCATAGGCACGCTGTGGTGATGACTGACCTCAGTTGTATTTTTATGCCTCAGCCACTGAGAAACTACTAAAATTTTAACCTAAAATTAAAACAGCCTCACCATAAATTTCTTTGGGCTTCGCTCACGACACGGAGGGTTAGGATCGGAGAGGTAAATAACAGGTTTTCTAAACAACAGAATAAGCTGTGAAAGCAAATGCTGTTCAATTTACCTATGACTTGACCCGTTGGCTCCAGCGATGCTGTTCCTGTGATTTTGAGTAAGATTTCATACTTCATAATCTCAGCTGGAAAATGCACACATTTAAAGAACAAATCACCAGGCTAAAGGTTTGAGTCCCTCCCCTGTCCCCAGTGGTACTTGAGAAGCAGCTGTGACATTTGGCGTTTTTTCCCTGCAGATGTGGATCCAGCTGTTATACAGTGCTGGCTTCTGGTGGTTGTTTTGCTACGCCGTTGATTCTTACTTGGTGGTAAGAAGATCAGCTGGACTGAGGTACCAGAGTTTAAGCTCTGAATTTGTTATTTTCCTTCCAACACTGTGTGTCCGTGTTTGTCTGCAGCTATCTAAGTGTATAAGTGAAGCTTGTACAAACATCTGACGTTCATACCGTTACCAGGTAATGATATGGATGAGTGGTGTGTTGAGTGCTTAAATTGCCAGGGCAACGCTCAGATATTGATTTGTTTATGCCCAATTGGAATTGAAATGCAATTGAATTCATTTAACCTTTGGAAAAATAAGGAGCAGATCAGGCTGTATAAACTTTATTGCAGTGAGATACTATTTTTGTCCCTCCTCCGTACTTGAAATTGATTCTTGCAGCAAAAAAAGTGTTGTCCTGAAAATAAAATGTAGGAAGGGGGAAGTGCTGAATTTCATACAGTTCAGTCTCCATTTTTCCACTCAGATTTTCAATTTTGCTCACTTTGCAGTGTTGCTATTACTAAGCTTCGGATCACAGTTATAGACTTTTTTAAGAAAAAGGATATGTATTTACTATACATTTTTCTGCAATGCCTGTAACAGAAGAACCTAAACACTTTGGAAAGCACCGTGCTGTGATGCGAGACAGAAAATATAAGGTCTTTCTAAGTTGGTGGTTAGAAAGACAAAATGACCTTTGGTTGCCACTGCTAAACATGGAATTATATGACTCTACCCAGACGATACCGAGCAGTCAGGTACTGGAGACACGGTTCGTCTGGCAGATGTTATCAAAATGGGGATTTCTGAGTTATCATCAGCTTGTGGAGAACAATCTGGTTTTGTAAAGTCCCATTTCTAGTCTGAAACAACTGGGACTTACCTCCTTTCTGCATACCTATTAACAACAACAACAAAAAAATCATGGCCTGATTCTAAGATCATAGCAAACAACAAAAGACTTTTGACACACATGGATCTGAACCTCCCTAAGATGAGAGCAGTATTTGACCCCTCTAAAGATAAACATAATTCTCCGCAAATTACAAAAGGGTGGCTTATTTGACTGTTTTGCTCCCTTCTTAAGTTTTAACCCCCTAATTTGCTCTTTGCGGGAGAAATGATGGAGGCAGGGGTTCCTTCTGGAGATTTGGGCGTAAGGGAAAAGCTTTCCACCCTACAGGTTGGAGGACACAGGACTTCTGGGTGCAAGCCTGAACAACTGCTTTGGCTCAGCCTTTTTCTGAAGGGACACCTCCTGCTTACCTTAGTTTCGTGCACTGTCAGTGTTGCTCTGCACCATTTCATATCTGTAAGGCTCTGGTTTAGTGAGGGTCCTATTTTTATGCTGCAACGTGGAAAGCGTAAGGTTTAGTATCTTTTAATTACACTTGTCCTGTTTGGTGCCTGCAGTACGATTGTGCTCTACCACATGATGACGTGGGGCCTGGCCGTGATGCTCTGCGTGGAGGGGATTGCACTGCTCTACTACCCTTCTCTCTCCAGGTGAGCAGGGCTCTGGGAACAGCCTGTGAAATCATAACGCTCTCGGGTCATTTGAACGTCTTTTGGTCAGCTGTAGAGACAGACGGCCAAACGTTGGGCTTTTCTGATCCTTGGCAAGCGTGTCCCACACTGAGTCAGTGTGATCCTAGAAATACTTGCCTGGGTTTTGGAGGGCCCTGAAGAAACATGCCCGGCAATGCAGGCACTGGGGCATGCTGCAGGGTGATAGAGGCTGTGGTAAAGCTTCTGCTCTGAGCCACTGTTCTCCCGTTCCTGGTTTCAGCTTTGTATTATTTGTCCCTTTAAATTTGAGAAAAATGCACAGACGGTGCATGTTAATAACTTTGTGTCCCTTGTGAGCCGGTGGCGAAGGCCTGTGAATTAGAAGCTTAGCATCTGTTTGCTTCATTCCTTTCATAATTTTTTAAGTTAAAGGTGACATATATAAAACAACCAGAACTGTCAGATGTGGGGAAAAATAATGCATAAGCTGTTAATGATTTCTTCTCAGCTGTGAAAATGGCTTGGAGCACGCAGTCCCACATTATATCACAACCTACGCCCCACTCCTGCTAGTGCTGGTGGTCAACCCAATCCTGTTTAGGAGGACAGTATCGGCAGGTATGTTCCTCATGGCCAGCATGAATCAGTACATGTTATTTAGCAACATAACTATAGTGTGAAAAGTCATGCCTGTGTATTCAGCGATGTGGGATAGCTCCTCATTAAATCATAAAGATACAGCAAAGGGTGGGAGGGAATTGCCTGTTGAAATGAAGATACCATCTGGATGGGAAATTTGCCCTAGAGACACACTCTGATGACATACTCAAGCTATGCTGTTACATACCTCTACCACAGATTGGCAAAGGTGTTTCTGTGTTACTAGGTTACTCTTGACTTAAAGTATTTTAGGCAGTGTATAGTGGATGCTTAACTCTACCTTGTATTGGTACCAATCTGGATGTTTAAATGTCATATATTCTGGTTTAAGGATAATATTGGTGAGATCTGATAGTTGATTTAACTTCTTGGCAGCCCTGGAGCTGAAAAAAATAATAAATATGATCAGAATTTTGTCACTCCTGATTCTGAGATTATGAAACAAATGGGTATGGTACACAATTCAGATGGGATCTTGAAGTTCTCCTTTAATTTATTATCCAGTGCTTTGAAGAAATGAGACCCAAGAAAAGCCACAGATTCAATGCATTCTTTGCATGTGATATGATCACTTCTAGATGTTTGCAGTACCTGAATTCATACTTATCATTTACACATTGAATATATAAAAACACCAGCAGAAGACCTTGTATTCTCAGTTCCGTCTTCATCCCATCTACCCTGCGTGCCTCAGTAATACTGATTTTCAAAGGAACAGTTGTTCCTTTAAAAAGTTGATCCTATAAAAAGTTGCTCTTTTTATGGGAAAATACACACTGACTATGTTTGTGCGTGTGTATATTCCTTGTGGTATCTGAACAGCATGTGGCATAACTGTCTATTTTTGCTGACGTTACGCCTTCAAGTTTTCGAGGTGTATCCAATGCTGTATCAATTGCACAATGAAATATAATGTGCATAATAAAATAGTATGTATTCTATTTTAGCCTAAATATTACATAGTAAATATATCATTATGTCACACATTATCTAGGAGTCGTAAGCACTACCTTTTTGCTATAAAAGAAAAGTATGTTGACCGTACTATTTTGTATTTTCTGTGGGGTTGAGAGAAGGAAAAACAGCTAGTGGGATATCACCCATTTTAGGAATCCATAATGGACATATTTCTTTTCCTTTAGTATTGGGCTGTGTGTGAGATGCCTTGAAGATGGTTCCTCCAGCTCCAACTGCTGCTGGAGCCAAGTCCATCCGTTCCTTTGTTCCCTCTTTACAGACATCTATCTTCTGGATCCTTGTGCCTATAACTAACAAGATGCACATATATTAATGAACATAATTGTATACTTTCCAGTTGCCTCCTTACTGAAAGGGAGACAAGGGATTTACACAGAGAATGAGAGACGTCTGGGGACAGAGATCCAGATCCGCTTCTTCAAAATTATGCTGGTATTTGTTATTTGGTAAGAGGTGCATTATTTTGTTTTAAACTGCTTTTTTCCCAGCTGGAGTGGGTTGGGGACAAGAATAGAGTCTGTTGGGTTGCTTCATTTGTTTGTCTTGATGCTTGGAAGGTAAGGTGTCTAAGGAAGAGGTAGTTTTAAACGAGTTCACAAAGTAGCTGAATCACTCATGTAGCATCACAAGGCTGCGAGCAAATGATAAAAGTGTTTAACCAACAGGAAAACAATAACCCCAAGAAACAATTAAAAAAAAAAAAAAGGTTGTGCATAGACTAAAGCTGTCTGGAACAACAGCTCCCCAGCACTGCGAGCTGATAGACGGCTTTCTGTACTCAAGATTTCTCAGAGCCTCTTGTCACCAAACGCATCACTGAAAACCTGCAATAAATGTACTTCTAAGACTGCCTTTATGGCCCTGACTATGATTACCTAATAATGCAGCCACCACTGTGGTCTGCAGAGCTCAAGTGTGTGAAAAAAGAACGGGTATCGACTGGAAATAATGGGGCTATATGCCGGAAAAGAAATCTCTGTATGATTGTGTGTGAAATTTCTGATAATTTAGTCTTTTTTTTAATATTCCATCTTCTTCCATGAAAATAGTACTTTGGGATAGGGCAGGAAAGAGATAGGCAGGTGAGGAGAGAGGAAGCACGGGAAGTGGGGAAGGAGGAAAGGAGGAAGGGTGCACACCTCATCCTGAAATCCCCACGCCTCCGCTCCAGCGGCACCATCCAGTGGAGCGGTGACTGGAACCGGAGGTTCTGGATGCATACAGCAAAACTGAGCTGAAATAGGGCCTGGTTTTGGAGGAAATGCTTTTTACTGCAATCTCACAATTATCACCCAGTAAGAAAGGCACCAGAAGGAGCGATGATCCACTCTACAAGGGTCTGTGCAACGACCGAGCAAGAAGTGGTCACTGCTGTGAAGTGTTTACTACCTCTGTGGGTAACACAAGTGACAGGAGGAGGAAAGAAACAGTCCTGGGGCAGTGAAATGACTTGGCCAAATTTAACAGCTCGACCTACTGCTTAAGTTTTTTATATGCAGGTACATTAATGAATGTTACATTGCTTTAAAAGGACAGTGAGGAGAAAGGCTGCCTTTTTATCTTCTGCTGGCTGCTGTACGCGAGAGTTGCTCTGGAGGAAAATGATCGCATTTTCTTGGGGTACTACGGAGTCTGCTTGGCTCGAGAGAAAGGCTTCTAGTGTGAAGGGTGGGGTAGCCTGCGGGAGACGGGGAGGGAGACAGCAGTGAACAAGCCTGCAGCACGGCTTCCTGGAAACTGTTGAAATAATGAGGAGCAGAGGTTTAGCCAGGCTTCCAGGGCTGTGGAAAGAGCGAGCCTTGTTCTGGAGCCCAGAGGCACCACAGAAGTGCATTGCAACCTAAGGAATGGTGGCTGCTCTGGGAGCAAGCATGAAGGAAAGAACAAATTCCCCAAGGAATCAGGGGGAACATTTGTTTATTTCCATTCTGTCACATTCTGGGCTTTCCTACTAAAAAAAATAAACATGGCTCTAGTTGTGGATTTTGTTCTCCTGATAAAACATAAGCTTTATGTTTTTTGAGTGTCAAAACTCTCTCAAAGGTTACTGTAGGGGAAGACTGAGGCAGTCCCATCTCAGAAGCTTAGGGGAGATGCCCTTCCATCCCAGAGGTCAAATATGAGATGAGTTAGTCAAAGACATCAAGTCGGGGCAACATGGGGTAGAAGAGATGCCTGCAGATTTGGGAAGGGAGAGCAGGAGTTTTGCCCTGTGATGAAAATATAATTGCATGAAGGACATGTGTAAAGCCCTTTAGAAAGTATGACACGGATGCTGATGTTTCCTTTCTGATGCTGCAGTAGAACTATAAAGAAATTCTGGTCTGACTATTTAGAAGTCATAAGAAGTTACAGCCATTTACTATAACCTTTATTTAGTGTAGAATATCTTCATTTTCTTGGGTGAGGTTTGATTATGCTCTTCCTTCTTTGAAAACAGAAATTACCTTTATTGTAAAAAGTTGATGGCATTTTCAAGGATTTTAAAGTCAACTTTTGTTTTGTTTTGTAGTTTTTTTACATACATTTTGACAGTCTGCTGTAATCGATCCCTGAAATTCTAACTCCAGCTAGAGTTTCTGCAGCCTTTTACAACACCCAAGCATATATTTGGTTTCCTTATCTGTGAGCACTAACCTTTTAAGACTCAAGTAAAAGAAGTCAGCATGCATGATGTTCCCGTTATGGATCACAGTTGTTCATCATCTCAATTTCATCCTGCAATTTAATGTTCTGCAGCAAGCTCAAATGATCAGGTTCTTTGGTTGGTTGGTTGGTTGGTTGGTTTGGTTGTTATATTGATTTCTTTGTCTAGGCCTGGGCTACCAGGTAGGTGTTTGGTTTTTGATCTCAGAGACCTACTGGTGCTTTCAGGTTGAGACTAAACATTAAAAAAAATCTCACTCTCCTTATTGATGAACCTAATGTCTATAATTTGAAAGTAAAGCATATTTTACATATATATACACACATATATGTAACTGTCTTATTCTCTTCTTTATTCCTGTAATAGCTGGTCATCCAATATCATCAATGAGAGCCTTTTGTTCTACCTCGAAATGCAGCCAGATATCAATGAAATGCCCCTGAAAAACATCAGAAGTGCTGCACTGATCACATGGATTATAATGGTAGGTCAAGCCGCAACATTGCTTAGTCTTACAAATTACTTTTATAAGGCTGGTGGAACAGCACCAGTGTAGTGAGTGGGTTGTTTATGATTTTGGGGTGTATAAACACTCTGAAAGTCAAGGAAGAAAAGCAGAAAGTAAGAGAGAGGAAAGAGGAGTCACTGGGAGTGCTTTTCACACATAAACCTTGCCAAAAAAGTACAAAAGGTCAACTTCTTCTCCCATTTACTGCAATACACTACAACGATTTCTACTCTGACCTTGCTAACCTCTGCCATAACGCAAGCTACAAAGTTTTAACTTAAGGGAATTGAGTGCTCCTTCAGTAAGTTTGC